AAAGCTGCAGATGCCGTTTGTGACTGGGCTCTCCCTCAGGAGGAAAAAAGGGGTGAAGCATTTCATCCTGTAGCTTCCTATTTATTTCTTGGAGACCTGCACTAAGGAGAGATTAACACTTTTTCTATTTGAAATCTACGAAAAAATGTTTTCCTGATAGCTAGATCTGCTCTGACACTCTTTATATTATCATCAAAATTCCTGTGGTACAATGTGTTCACATTTAAGAAATATGCACATTGTTTATACACATGGAGAAAAAAATCAAACATGAAGTATGGGAAAATAAACGAAATGAACAGAAAATCTGTTCAGATTACTTTGTATTTTTTCAAAATCCTGAATTTCATGGGTTAGTAAAGAATGTAAAGATATTTATATTTTCTCAAAATTTACATTCTAGATTATATAATGTCCTAATTCAAGTTAGAAAATGATTTCATAGGCATATCATATGAGTATTTAAAACAGAATGGGTTTTGAATTAAAATGAATGAAAGATAAAATGTAATTTTAACTTGAGCTAGCCTGTTAAATGTGAAATCTCTAATTGGATATCTAATTGGACTAAGAATTTGATTTTAATTCAATTATATTAGTAAAATTGTTCAAACTATCACCTTAATACCAGTACTTTAATCTTTAAAACCAAAGATTTCCTGTTCAAAAATAAAAGTTCTTATATAAGATGGCTGATTTTTATATTTTAAATTCCTGAATCAGAGTGCCCTCTGTTGGAGGGAAAAAGGCAATAAAAGTTTCACTGAACTAAAAATAACTAAGTTACTCCCAAAGTTCAAGCCACACATATATAAAATACATTTATAAATAACATGAATGCTACAAAACAAATTTTCTTTCATTTTATTTCTTTTAAATTACTTTTAGAATTACTTGTCATATTATGATGCAAATATGAATGCTTCATATTACCTGAAATTAAATTTTAACTGAACCCAAATACTTTGTATAACCAGAAATATAAATAACAAACAAAAATATTTTTCGACATTTAAAATTCCAATATAATATAGATATAATTATAATTTAGAACTGTTGCCAGACTGTTGTTTGAATCTTTCTTGATGATAAATTGAAAACAGATCTGGTATGAATTGAATATCTGTATCCCTCTTGAATCCTAAGTTAAAATCCTAACCTTCAATTTGATGGTACTGGGAGGTAATTAGGTAACAAGGGTACATCCCTGGTGAACAGGATTGGTGCCTACAGAAAAAGACACTGCAGAGCACTCTCTCTGTTCTCTGCCATGTGAAGGAACTGAAAGACAGTTACCTACAAACCATGAAACCAGCCCTCACAGGATACCAGCTCTGCTGGCACCTTGATCTTGGACCTTCCTTTGGGAAATAAATGTTTGCTCACTAAACTACTCAATCTATAATAACTTGTTGCAACAGTCCCAACTAAAGACACTCCCTAATTCAAGAGACTTCCAGAAGCTCTTACATTAGGAAACTGAAGAAATAGGTTGAACACTATGAGATCTACAATATTTATTCTATCATAATTTTCTATTATAATTAATCAAGACCTCAGTTCTGACTCCTCATTTCAGGAGTGAACTACCTTATGAAGGTCCTTGTAGGTTTTTGGTTCCTTAGACCAATGGTGTGTATATTAGAATGACCTGGGGAGATTTTTTAAAAGAATAATGTTCAGCCCTACCCAGAATTATTCTTAGTTGGTGTGTTTCCTGAGATAACAGTACTTTTAAAGCCTTTCCAGGAAAATCTAATAAGGTAAAACCATTGCTGAGAATCAAAATTTGACTCTCTCCTTAGAATACCTAACATAAAACTGCCACCTTATCTTCCAAAATGTTACCTTTTCTCCTCCACAACTTTAAACATCAAACTACCTTCTCAATCTACTGATCTGCACTTGTCCTCTGATGATATAGACAAGCTGTAATAACATATGATTACATTACATATTACAGTATGGTTCCAGCCCCAGACTTCCTGTGTTCAGATTCTAGTTTTGTATGTGTGTAAACTTGGGAGTCATCAAAGCTCTCTATGTCTCCATTTTCTCATCTGTTAAATGGGAGAGATAATGCTGTCTATCTTCAAGGGTTATTGAATCTTCCACAAGTGTTAAGTGTTATCATTACTTATTCAACTTCATTTTCCTCTACTTTCATGGTATACCATTCTCTTCCAATTCTACACTAATTCTCACCTCCAGTTTTGCACAAACTGATTCTTCAGGGTGGAAACCTCGCTCATTCATTCCAACACAAGTGTAAAGCACATCTCTCCTTCCTCTAGGTCCCATTTTAGTCTCTCCTTACATCAATGCAGGCTTCAATGAATACCTATATATCTTCACTGATCTCTCCTTTAAAAAAAATCCTTTGGCCATAAAGTAACTTAACATAAGAAATAAAGCTGGAAATTAAGCAGATAGACTGAAATTAATTTCTCACTATGTCCCTTGTCAGCTGTGTCATTTCCTAAATCTATAATCCCATTATTAGGATTGTTCACTAGTGGCTTAGGTCCTAAAGGCATTAAAACAGAGTCTAGCAAGCACCTAATAATGTTAACTTATAATACGTATTCATTTTATATGTTTATTTTGCCTGTACATGGTGATTGAAGGCTCCTTGGGATTGGCATTTTGAACTCCTTGAAGTCCTGAATAATACTTAATACTGCTACTATAAACCTACAAATAAAACATAGTAACAACCATCCACAATAGGTGATATAAAAGCACTACAAGCTTTTTGCATAATTTGAGAGGACAATTCATAGCAATATTCTGGAAAAACCATTTTTGATAAATGGAAACAAATATTGAACAAAACAAGGGATAAACACAAAGCACAGGCTATAGCTAAGCATCACTGTAATTGGATCACTTTTAGAATATTCAACAAGTTTATATCAAATTCATCTTCTGAGAAGCCAATACCAATTATGTCTTTTAGCTGTCCAAAATCCTTTAGATTTTCTCTCATTTCCTAAAAATTAAATTCAAAACTCTTAGCCTGACATTCTAAAATCATCCATGGCCTGACCTCATCTATCCTTCTAATCTTACTCTCATCTTTCTCCTCTGTAAAAATTCTATTGTTCCATACACAGAACTTCTTGCTCTTATTCATATATACTGTCTTTTGTCTTGTATAACTTTTAATATTTTATGTGACAAAAGTTTCAAACAGCTATTATAAAGGTTTGTCAAAGAACAAAGTGGCATAGGAATATGTGGGCTCATATTTCAAGAACTTAAATTCAAATTATGAGCTTTAATTTGTCTCTTACCAATATCACAATATAGCCTTCAGCTTGTAAAACAAATTTAGCCACCTCTTTCCTCAAACAATGTCACCCTGTCAATACCAAATGCTGTTGCCAGCACTTCCTTAAAGATGGAAGCCTGTGCCATGGTCTCTAAGAAGAGTGCACAGACACAATACACAAGACATTCACTGAGTAAAAGAAAATAAATTAGAGCGTCTATTTTATACTGATTCTTTACCTTTGCTTTGAAGTTCTTGTGATGTAATGTGTCATAATCTACATCATATATTATTAAGATAGAATATATATATATATATATAATTTTTAAATAAATACATTAGGAATTTTTGCTCCAAATTTGTTTACTAATGTATGAACATAAGAAATGTTCAGAAACTATTGGTCTAGAAAATTAAGACTTTGGGAAAAACTTTGGGTTTAGAAGCAGAGGGCAAGAAGCTGCTAGTTCAGAAAAATCTTTAGGATTTTTCTAAAATCCCAAACATCATGTATTGTTTATATAGGACAAATATGCTTTCAAGAAAATATTAAAATGCAACTGATTTGTAATTTGGAGATTGAATATACCTGTTTAAGATGTTGTAAACATGGAATTTTGTCTGACTACTATAAATATTTTATTAAAATAACATTTCATTTTGCATAAGCCTATAAGTATTTACTTCAGTATATATACAATTATTTATACCTTCAAAAAATTTTAGAATTGCAATAATGTGGTGCTTTACAAAAGACAGTGCAGCAAAACAAAAATTAGAAAGAAAACAAAAATAAAGCAAGCTCAGGAGGTAAGTTTAGCCATGAAACTAGATTACCAAGTGCTATTCAGGGAAATAGTGTCATAGCTCACTTAAGTAACTAAATAAAGTAAATGTTCACAAAATAGACAGTCATTACATTTGGAATTTTTTTAGTTTTCAAAAATGATAGACTTAACACAGACAACCCTATTACTGGCAATTCAGCAACATATCATGTTTCTGTAGCCAATTAATTTCTAAAAATGAGTAAAAGGTCTGTATCATAATATATGTCCTTTAAGGCCATTACATACTAAAAATCGTTCCCCATTAGAACAAGAGGAGATTCATAAGTATTATTTTTAAATGATTAGTTCTCTACAATTTTTCAAATTAATTTGTTAGCAAAAAATCCGTAAAGAACAAGAATCTCTAACTTATACTTCAGATTCTGAGCTCATAAATAAAAGCTCTCCTGGGATTTACATATTATGAAAATATAGGGGTTGAGTTTTCCATGTCTTTCTAGTACCATGACTTAAGAAATGACTGAGGAACTATGTACTTGTTTTGGCTATCTTTATTTAAAGAGGAGTTAGACTGAGTTCATATAGAAGATGGAGAAGACAGGTAACAGGAAGCTTTTCTTCTTTGGAACCTACACCATTTTGCCCAATAAAGGTGAATAAAGACAACCAAAGATACCATGAGTCTATGTGTCACAATAAAGCACAACAGTGGAGACACCATCACAAACTCCAAGTGACATATCCAAGCACAACTTCCCTACCCACAGAGTGAGCATAGAGTGCCAGTGAACATTAGAGACTAGCAGGGAGAATGACATTTGATAGTGGCAGAATCTGGTAATATAATATTATGTACCAAATCCCACATATCTCAGTGCTGTACACATTGAATCGGCAAAGACAAACACACTGTCTTCATTTCCCCCCTTACTTACTACACTCTGGCTTCCATTTTTCCCAAGTTCTTCCTCTGAAATCTTGCTCAAATTATCTAAGTAGTGGTCTGATATTGTGTGGCACAAATCTTCAAAAGAATAATCCTTTTCTTGACAGAGTTTTATTTCATCCAGGAGTTTTGATAGTTCTCCAGTCACAGCTTCACCTACAAGAAGAAAAATTTTTTTAGAAGCTCCAAGAAAGCCTGTTGCTAAAACTTAATATTAAATAATAAAAATAGGACCACTATGGTGATACTGTCAAAGTATGACAAACAAGATTAAGATAAATGTCATCATCATCTGCCAAAACATGAACATTTTTTAGGTCACATTTAAATGTGCACTGTTCTTAACAGGCTCAAGTACTTTATACATATAATTTATTGTAAAAAAAAAAGTTTCCAACAGTTGTTACAATATAGATCTTAATATTTTAAATTTTGAATTAAAAGCATATTTAAGATCAGTTGACCACATATGTACAGATTTATTTCTAGGCTCTTTATTTGTTTCATTTCTCCAAATGTCTACTTTTAATGCCAGTACCATGCTGTTCTGTAGCTCTTCAACAAAGGTCCCAAGAACCTACAACATAGAAAGGATAGACTCTTCAATAAATGTTGCTAGGAAAACTGGATATATTTAAACAGAAGAATGAAATTGGACCCTTATTCTCAGAGCATAAGAGTAAGGGAAAAAACTAAATATCCATTGTTCGGTGATTTAAAAAATGGATTGAAAACTCAAATGTAGGCCATGAAACAAGAAAACGTTCAGCTATATAATACTGGTCTGGATAATGATTTTTTAGATACAATACCAAAAGCAAAGAAGAGAAAACTGCTTATAGTTAAGAAACTTAAATGTAGGACCTGAAACAAAACTCCTCATTGTTGTTTTTTTATTGCTCTGTACAACACCAAAAGTACAGGCAACAAAGGCTAAATGAGATTGCATCAAACTAAAAGTTTCCTCACAGCAAATGAAACAACTAATAAACTATCGACATCCTATGGAATGGAAGAAAATATCTGCAAAACATATATCTGGTAAACGATTAAATTTCAAATTATATAACAAACTCAAATGACTCAATAGCTGAAAATAAGTAACTCAAAAAATGGGATAAGGAGCTACACAATCTTTTCTCCAATAAAAATAGGCAAACAGATATATGAAAAGGTACTCAATATCACTAATCATCAGAGAAATATAAATCAAAACTATAATGCAAATCATCTCACACCTCCTCAAAGAGCTGTTATCAAAAACATGACAGGTAACAAGTGTTGGTGAGGCTGTGGAAAAAGAACCTTGTACACTGTTGGTCAGAATGTAAAATGGTACAACCATTATGGAAAACAGTGTGGTGGATTCTAAAAAAATAAAAATAGGAATATCACTTCTCAGTATTTATCCAAAACAAATAAAATCAGTAACTTCAAGAGAGATATATGCATCCCCATGTTCACTGCAGCATTATTCAAACCAGCTAAGATATGAACATAAAGTGTCCATTTTGGGGTGAACAGATAAAACACATTATGTGTATGTGTGTAGTGTGCATACACACACATATATGTACTATAATATGGATAATGGACTATTATTTAGTAAAAAGGACATCCTATCATTTGGAACACTATGAATGAAACAGGAGGACATTTAGCTGAGTGAAATGAGGCAGGCAAATGTTGTATGATCTCACTTACATGTGGAAGCTAAAAAAAAAATTAAGTCAAAAGCAAAGAGTGAATTGATGATTGCAAGGGCTGGAGATGGAGAAAATAGGGAGATTTCATCAAAAGGTTCAGTTATGGGAGTGAATAAATTCTGGAGATCTAATATAAAGCAAATACTGTACAGTATAGTTGAAATGTGCTAACATAGTTGATCTTACCTGTTTTGGACCACCAAAAAGAAAAAATTGTAACTATGAGAAATGGTAAATTTGTTAATTAGGTTGATTGTGACAATCAATTCACAATGTATACATACATCAAAACATTGCACTACATACTGCAAAAATACACAATTATTATTTGTCATGTATACCGCAATAAACCTGGGGAAAACACATTTATAAAAAAAGTCAATGAGTAATATCTACTCTATATAGATTGCAGAACAGCAGAGATAGCTACATGCTTTATTCACTATTATATCTCTGGGCCTCAAATAGTTCCTAACAAGTACAGAAACCTAAAAGATATTGATTGAATAAACACATAAAATACAAGACTATAGGAAATAACATATTAGATTTCAAATTTGCACAACTGTTAGCATATGTGACAAATTTCTGCATAAAAGTCAAAACTCTAATAAAGTTTCAAGGGCTTTACAAATACTCACTTTTGGTCTTGTGAGGAGACTCAACAGGAGATGAAATGTGTGTTTCTTCTGTTGTATCTTCCTGTACATGCTCTTCAAGGACGGTTGGTCTTCCCACACCATCTAAATATTCTGTGTACATACATTTTTTCAAGTTACATACTTGGATTTATGTAAAAAATCAATTGCTAAGCTTTATGTTTTACTTTTGGTGGTTGATTTTTCATTTATTTACTCTTATATTCAATACATCCTCAATTTTCAAAAGAACTTCAAAAAACAAACAAACCAAAAGAAATTTATGTTAAGATTTTTTTAAATTTTTAAATAATAAAACAGATACTTCGGGGGAAACTCATGAACCTCTACTGGAAACTAAACATCTTATATACATTCCTTAAAACTAAATGTATTTATTGAAGACACAGTAGTCTTCTTAATTACCTTAAATTTTTCTATCCAAAGATTTAAAAATTCCTGAAATGGAGCACAGAGGAAGGGGCTTCCGGGCCATAGTACCACTGCTCCCAGTGCAGAGGAAGGGGCTTCCAGGCCACTGGCAGAACCACCACTCCCAGCACAGAGGAGGTGAGCAGCACAGACACCAACAGCACACACATCCCATGCCCACCCCCGAAAAAATGAGAAGGCATGTAAACAAGTTTCAAAACCAGACGTCCAGATCACCTACAGCAACCCCAAAGGGAAATGGGAACACTCTGATACTCAACCACCTGGACTCCCTGAACTGGCAACAAAAGAGGATCTGGAAAAAATGAAATCAGAAATAATTTCTCAGATAACAGCAG